TACACATTACCCATTTGAACTCTAGGAATCTGGGAACTCTGCCTGAGAACCTACAGACATTGGTGACCAATCATCTTGAGAATGTCACTTTGAATCCTGTTCAGACTGGTAATGAACATGAACCTTCCTATCTGACACCTCTGTGGCAGAGTAGGTGTGGGAATAATGGCAGCCCTTGCCTAAATCCATGTTGATGCAGGGGAGACCTTCTGGCTCTCCACAACTCCCTGACAGGAGGTTGGAGCCAGGTAGGGTCAGACTCTTCGGCCAAGGAACAAGCAATAGGATAAGAGGAAACAGCCTCAGGCTGCACTAGAAGAGGTTGAGGTTGGCCCTGAGGAACAATTTCTTTCCCGCAAGGGTTGTGCATGGCTGTGCCAGGCTGCCCAGGGCAGTGGTGGAGTCCCCATCCCTGGAGGGATTTCCAAGCCGTGGAGATGTGATGCTGACACAGGTCAGTGGGGACCTGGCAGAGTTAGGTTAATGGTTGGACTTGATGGTCTTTCCAACCCAAACAATTCTAGGATTCTGTAACAGAGAAGCTGACACTAGTTCCCCTCACTTATCGCTGTGGTGTCCCCAAGGCGGCACTGGCTAAGCCAGCCCTGGAGCCCCAAGAATGAACAGGGCTTTGGTACAGTGCCATGCTCAGTTAATTAGCTCTGCTTCATGCAGGGGTGGCAGGGAGCTCATCAGCAAGGGCACGCTGCCAGGCTGGTGTGATTATCCTGGACCCAGCACCCCAGCTAGGCTCTTTGCACCCAGCTCCCTGCACGTGTTCCTTTGGAGGCCGTTCAGAACACCCAACTGTGTATAAACTGACCTGATGCCATAACCTGTGACGGGTCAGGCCAAGGGCTCCTCTCACCTGGTGCTGTGCCTCTGAGAGCTTCAGGTGCTTTGGGGAAGAGGAGGATGAAGAAAAGAGGCACACAGCAACCCAACTCCTGGCCATACCCTCCAAGCTGTTCTGGCAGAAGCAGATTAGGGATACCCACTGCCAGGGCTCATATCTGCAACTCAGCACTTAATAACACTTGAAAGATTTGCTTTATGTGAATTTGTCTAAATATTCTGAGCCTGATCAAACTTTGAACCTTCACTGCAGACTGTAGCTGTGAGTTTCATTACAAAAAAAGAATCACTCCTTTAACCTGTTGCCTAACAAGACTCCACTGCTGGCATCCAAGAAAGAGCAAGGGCTGCCTAAGCCCAGAGCTCTCACTGTAGCAGGGCAGTGTATCACCTCCCCTCTAATGACTCTGTCTAACATCTCCTTTCTCCTCCAACAGAGATGGCACCTTCCAGCTGCTGTGCTTCAGCCTTTACAGTTACTAACTTTCCCTCAGCTACTCCTTCTGGTATTCAAGCTGATGACAGAAGGTCTGAAGTGTTGATAGTTGGACAGTGACGTGGTTTTTTTGCTTAAATAGCCAGACCAGGGGATAAATCCATGGCAAGAAGGAGTGTGCTGATGGTTAAGCATGGCTGCCTCAGGAACAGAGAGGTGATGTCATCAGTGCTTCTGTAGGACTTATAAAGGGATTCTCTCTTTGGTGCTCCCTCCTTGCCCCCTTGTAGCTGTGCTGCAGTGGGTGCTTCTTCAGAGTAATAACAAATGAGTATGGAGGGAGCTACCCAGTTTTATATATATTTTGAGAACAAGAGGCATTGGATGGACTGTTCAGGGAGGAGGAGCAGAGGGATGAATGTGGAGAGCAGACAGCTTGAGAGAATGCCAGTGGAGCAGAGAGCTCTTGAGGAGAGATGAGGCTCTGGAAGGAAATTACAGCCTTCCTGGGCTCTGCAGTGCTGACAGCAGCAGTTCCTACCTTTCATCAGTCATTCCTCTGAATGTACCTGAGAAGATAAGGCAGGAGAGCTGAGCCACTCTGCAGGATGCCCACCACTGCCTGCGTCCTGCTGGGATGGGAGACTGAAGCCCAGAGCCGCTCTGCTCTGTTCCAGGGAGCGTGGCTGCAGCAGGAGCAGCACCACCGCTCCCGAGAGCCTCAAGGTCAAGGAGTCGGCGCGGGAGGGTGAGCGAGTGTGCGTACGGTGACTTGACACAAACACCAATCCAGCTGAGTTTTAGGATTAGGGAAAGCAATTAACAGGG